GCCTCCACAGATGGGTTACAGCAACCAGGCCATAGCCTGGGCCTGAGTGACGGCCGTGGACAACAAATACGGACTAACCCGCTCCAGCCTGGAGGCTGCTGCTGGGATCTCTGCGAGCTCTCTGACGTTGTGACCGACGTGCTGTTCCCTGGCTCTTTCTGCCYCTCGTGCTCTTGCTTCCTCTCCATTTTAGGTGTTACCAGTCATCCACAGGCTAATTGCCTAGTGTGGTTACCCTGAGGCCTGCTGCTTTCTCTCCTGTTAGTGCGATGGGTTTGTTGTTGTTGTTACTGTTCCCAGTCAGGGGGTGCAAGTTCCATTTGCTCCACATTCTCTCTCCAGCTTTTTCACTCTTTTGATTGTTCTGCAAAGTACTGCATGATAAATCTTTATTTTACACTGTGTTGCACTTAAGTGACTGCTGCAATCTCGCTGCCCCCTTCCCATCAGACTTAAAAGTCTTCCAGAGCAGTGCAGCTTGCACTCCTGAATCCAGGGGTATCCCAGAGGCAGAGGGGAGGCAGCAGCAGTGTCTTCAGATGCTGCAGAGYTGCAACTCCTCAATGTACATTGATATTAGAAGTGTTGTTATTSTGGGAGACTCACTGCTCTCACACCTTCCATAGAGGTATGCTTCTTGCCTGCTGGGCTAAGTCACTCATTTTATTTAGCACATTACCCTTCGGTACTTCTGCAAATTGACAAAAAGAGGGGTTAAAAACTGGTGTTTTGCCTTGTGTTGCCGCTGTAGTTATTAGGCAAGACCTACCATTTTCATATCCCTTCCTTATAACCTGCCCTCTCCGATGGGTCGCATACTGTGAACTCTGTTGAGGTCCTGAAGTTAGGGTCTCAGGGGAGGGTGTTGCTCCATCTCTCTGCATTAAAGCTGTACAAGAGATTGGCTTGGAAGCCCTGGCCCGCTTAGATTTTTCACTAGTTTTTGAATAGCCTCCTTTCAAGCCTTTAGTTACGTTGTTTCCAATTATACCATTTGGAAAGCACTCCAAGATTGCTTGAAAATGTCGTGGACCTCTGAGACTTGTTCTTCAATCAGGCTTTCCTGTCTGCCTTCATCTCGGCATTGCTTGTTTCTTTATGCCTGCRCTGTAAGCTCCTTTAGGCAGCCCCTGGCACAGTGACCACTGATCCGTGACGGAGGCTCCGGCTGCACAGTAATACCAACAAACAATAAAAGTTGGGACTTCGCACGGGGAAACCCGATTGCCATGGTTTCCAGTGCAGTGCCAGGATGTGATGAGGTACTGTGGGAATATTGCCCCAGCGCACGCAGACTCCTTTCCCAACTTGTTATCATTACAGGAGTCAGGGAGGGAGACGTTGTGTCCGCAGAGGCCTGTCCTGCGGGATGGCGAGGGAGCCAGCTCCGTCATCAGAGCGGAGAGCAGGTTGTGCCCCGACCTCCGAGCTCCTGTGTGCTCCTGAATCTGGCAGGAGACGTGTACCTCCCTCCCAGGCTCTGCCGGATGCGTGTTTGTCTCCCTTCAGCCTAAAAAGGGACAGCGTTCCCGACGGGAAGTAATTGCTTTGGAAACTTTGCTGAACATCTGTGTCCAATCAGACCGAGCATCTACATGAGGCATAATAGCAGCCCTCAGCCGAGCACCAGCAGTAGCAAGGAGCCTTGGAACGGGCCGCGCTTCCGAGTCGGCAGCTCCGAGGGGGTGATGTAGGAGAGCAGGCCTCCTGTGGCTCGCAATTGCGGCGGGGCTTTGCTTTGTAGCTTGCCAGTGACAAGCTGCAGAACAAAACCACAAGGCTCAAGATGTAGCTTGACACTCCCCGGGTTTGCAGAGCCAAACCACAAGGCTGAGAACTCCAGTAATTATGAGCCAGGAAACCAGTTTTTAGTCCTTTGTCAATAAGGAGAATCCCGGGGCTTTGCCTACTGCGTAGCTAGAAGTAGCAGAGCCGTCCGATGAGACTCTACRTTTTTTCCCCAAAATGTCTTAGATCCGACAGGGAATATTACCAAGGGTCTCCGTCAAGCTCCCAGGGGGAACAGAGCAGAAGAGTTACAGGGAAGAACACTAAGCAAATAGAAATAAGCCCCGAAATAGAGTATCCAGAGCAATTGCAGAGCTGTGTGATAGCTGAGAAAAGTGGCCAGGAGGAATGACAAGAGGAGAGCCTTGCTGGAAGGCCCACAGGATCTGTGTTTGGTTTGTGCTTGCATTGATCTAGTCAAGAGAACACGGGTGTGTTCTTGGTGCTTCACACAGCACTGGGCCAATAGACAACTGTGAAAAGTGTTATTACCTTTTCTAAAAAGCTCAAGGAACAGCAAAGCATGAAAACTCTCAACTGTAAATTTTCTTTATTTTTTTTAATATGGCATGTAATGCAAAAGTCATGTCTACTTAAGTCCAGTGACATATTTCTCAGAGAGGTTATTCCAAACAAAAGGCATTTTTGTCCACTTCACAAAGCTTGCAAACCTTTATTTCAAATTGTTTGCAAAATGTAAGCATTGCCATATTTAGAGTTTCCCATGAAACCTTAATTCAACTCTTTTAAATTTATTTTGGTTACAGGGTCRCACACTATTTTTCCAGGGAGTGCCTGCTTAGACCTGTGTCAAGATGGTTTCGCTGAACGAGTAGCTATTCAGGATTTCYGTTTATCATCCTCATTTCTGAGAGACCCGAAGCGTGCTTAATGCAAGTGGAATCCGTGATTTTTTTTGATCTTCTTGAAACTGAAAGACCTCTGCTTTATATCTGCCTTTAGGAAATTCCRAAGGTTTAATATTCATCCAATTTTTAATGAATTTTCACAAGGAGGCAAAACTCAGCTGACATACCAAATCCCTCAAATCCATTGGTAAAATGGTTGTAAGATTTTATTAATGTTTGCAAAGTTGTGGTCCTAATGCTTCTTCTTTTTTTTTTTTAAATGGTAGAATTGCTTTTCTTAAACCTTAAACTCAGAGACTGGAAATGTGGTGTTATAATGGAAAGTGTTAAATYACTTCGACTTCAGGCATTCCTGCTAATTCAACTGTAGTGAGAAAACGGTGAACAATAATAAGGATTTTTTTTCCATCTAGGGCTTGAGAGCCCTTTGCCATTGTCAGAACGTGGTCAGCGGAAGTGTATGGGCAATGTTGAGGTGGGATGTCCTATCACAATAGGATAGACGTGGCACGATGGGACTAAATAATAGACTTAACAGTGCTAAAGACTAAGAGAAAAACTTTTACGTTTCCTTCACTCCCAGTGTGTTTGTAGGAATGCTTTAAGACAGCTAGGCAGTGGAGGGGATTAAGTTGTTAATAAGGTTGCAAAGCGAGCAGAAATGTTCACGGGATAATTCTGCTTGGTATTTGGAACAAAACAGGAATGTGTGTTTTGATCATGAAAGGATGATGCAAGTRTGTTCCGTGACATTAATAACTAAATTGTTTAATGTTTAGAAGGAGTAAATATTTATAAATCAACAGGCTTGGTAATTCACACCCAGAGGTTCTCAGCAGTGTAAGGATGATCTCTCTCTCATTGGTGCTCCTTCTGAATATTTGAAGAATTTCCTTTAATAAGGGGAAATCTCAAAGGCTGGATAACTGCTAACATTGTGCAGATATTCAGAGGAGTAAGTGAGATGACCCAGGCAGATCTACCCAGACCAACCTGACTTTAGTTCTGAGCAGAACAGCACAAAAGCCAACTGGAGGAGCCTCAGTATGACAATAAAAGTCAGGTGCCTGGATGCTGGTGACCATGGTTTTGGAAACTGAGAGACCAAATAGATCTCTCATTCTTTGTAATTTAAAGTTCAGTGCCAAAGGGTAACCATGTACCACTCTGTATAGAAGCCTTGGTAAGGACACACCATGGAATTTCAGAGAGCCACAAGCAGTGTAAGTAGTGAAGTGCAGTAGGAACAGGCTGCAGCAGAATTACCTTTGGCAGTCACAGTGGTGATCCCTGCAGGGCTGGGGAGGGTTCCAGAAGGGTTTTGAGAGAGCATCAGCGTTTTCAGAAATGGTTTGGAAGCGACTATGAAGTTGCTGTTAAACTGCAAGTGGCCTAAAGCTGGTGTAAATAATGGCAATGTGAGATATCCTAAGCACATGCTTTTTTGCACAGTTTAATGTCTTTTTCTGCTGTTTGTCGTGGAGATGGCTCCATGCTGTGAGGAGGAGGTGTTGAATCAGGTTACCCTGCCAAGGCTCTTAGATTAAAATTCTTGCTCTCCTCCCTATGCCTTACTCCAAATATCYACCCAAGCAGAAGTCAAACAGTGCGGTGTCACTGCCCAGCGAGTCCTGTGAACAAGGATGRAGTAGACACTTTGCGAGCATCATACTGTGCTGGTGACACTATCTGGACCAGCAGGAACAGTAGCATCAAGTAATGGGGTGAAGAAGCTTGAACCCCTCTCCAGGCGGGGCTGTGTAGCAGGGTCATATTCAAAGGCAATGCCCTCTCATGTGTGTGGGTTGAATTAAAAAACCATTTAGAGGGAAAACAAGGCCATACTTAGTTGTTTTTCTCTTGTACTGTGAACATGCATGGTCCTTTACAGGGGGCCTTTTAGAAGCTTACATTTTACTTCACATAAAGCCTAACAGAAGATAATCTGTGGTAAAGAAGCATGTAACCTGCATACAGAGTAGAGGTGGATGGTCCTATTTAGCTCACTGAATGTTCTCAAGAGCTGCCAACCATGTGTCCGCTTGCAGGTGGGAGTGATCTCAGTGTATGCTGAACTACTTAAACCATTAATCAAACTAGCTGAAGGATCAATAAGACTGAAAGCAAAGTACCTTGGAGAGGTTGTTCGTGTTGAAGCCCTAGACCCTTTTTCTATGACACTTGTCATCCAGACTGGCTTGAGCCTATCTGCACATGCTGCTCTCAGCTCTCCTGCTGCCATCAGAATAATATTCTACTATCTTTTGCATGCAGTTGTGCTCATTATTTTATCTTTCCTTTCTAATTTTTTTTTCTCTTGTTTTTTCTCCTGTTTGTTTCCAGAGTGCCTCTGATGGCTTTTGGAAGTCAGTTGCAACCCGTGTCCCAAGGGAACCTCATGAGATACGTATCCTGAACCCCTACTTCATCCAAGAGGCAGCTTTCAGCTTCATTGGACTGCCTTTCAACAACGGCCTGATGGGCAGAGGGGTACGTATAGAGGTATAAAGAGGAAAACAAACAACAAATCAAAGCAAACAACAGAAAAAGTAGCATAGCAGACTTGCTCTGGTTTTACTCTTTCTTCTGGCATCCACTTGTCTTCCAGAAAATCAAGACTGTCCCAACGAAGGACACAAATAATGAGCTTTTGCCTTTATTTTCTCTATGTATTTTTAAACACATTATTTTAATGCACAAGGTATTAGTTAAGCTGAGAGGAGAAGAGAGAATCCGGAAATGAAAATGCTGTAAACTGAAGTTTATGAGGTTTTGATAGGTTGTTTAACACACTTCAGATTGGGAAATGAAGGCAATTTAATTGAAACCTGATGGTTCACTTCATGAAAGTCCATTCAGACATTAAAAAAGTCATTTATGGAGCTCTAAGAAAAGCAGTCTTAGCCCATGACCCCTGGAGTAGGTGCATTTTTTTTCTCCTTCAAATGGGGCAGCAAGAGCTGTGCAGGTGTAGGTGGGCTGGAGTGTTGGTATAACCCATGTTGTCTGTGCGAGGATAGCCTAATATGTAGTGATTCTGTCTGAGTCGTGAAAATAGGGAGAGAGAGAAAGAGAGAGTGCGCTATGGTACACATTTTAGAGCAAATGTCAGCTACAGACAGCTGTCGTGGAGCTGCTGGGACATCACACTCTTGTGAACCCTGCATCAGTGCAAACACTTCAGTGGGAGCTGCTGCTGMTGATGTAAAGAGGGGAGAGCAGTGCGAGGCTGATCCTGGTGATACAGATCCATGGACAGGGCTGCTGCTGCTGGTGTAAAGATGGGAGAACAGTGTGAGCCCCATCCTGGTGGTACCAACCCGTGGATGGGGACAGACTGCGGCCCCCGTGCCAAAGGGCACTGCAGTGTTGGGCAGGCGGCRCCCGGGAGGATCAAGGCTGGAGGTACCTCAATAAAGGCCAACGTGAAATCCTCATAAAGGGCAGTAATATTCCATTTCTCTTTGGTTTTGGTGCCTAAATAAACTTGAGGGCTCCTTTTGCACACCACATATGGTAACAATGTGCTGCCAATTAACTTTGTAATTTGGGGGCTTTTTTCAGCAAAGTTGAGGAGAGCTAGTAAAACAGTTCAGGGCTGATCCCAGAGCGCTTCTCCCAGATTTCAATAAATGGTGAATGTAGTAACATCCTCCGCTTTGATAATATAATTTGGGCCAGATGGTTCTGGAGGATAGCAAAGGGGTACAACACAGACACGCGTTTAGATTGCACATGTGGCATCGGGAGCCGAAAGCTGCTTTAGAGCAGCAGGGGCTTGACTGGAACATGTACTTATCTCAGCAAGGAGCAAAACTGGACACCCACAACGAACAGTGACTTCCCTCTGGGACCAATAAAGTTTTGGGGGAGCTATGTCAGCCATTAACTGAAGCCTTAGAGAAAAGAGAGCGCTCCACTCTTCTGTGGGGAGAAGCTGATGATAAAGAAAAGCTTTAGTTTAAGATGCTACCAGTGTCTGCGGAAAATTAGAGAAATGTCGATGCCTCAAGCTAGTTTAGCACCAGAGAAATGAGCTATTAAGGATCCTGCCTTTGATTAAAGAATTCTCTCAAACAGTGGGCACAGACTTGGCTGCCTCGCTAGACAATGATATATATATATATATGTGTGTGTGTGTGTGTGTGTGTGTGTGTGGTTTATGTGTTGGTGGTAGTTCTGTGTGTAAGTCTGGGCTTGAAACCAAACAGCACTGGTATTGCAGCTGGCAGTCCAGCAGGGTGAGGTGGCTGGCAAGACATTTCAGATGAGGCATGTAAATTCTTCGGGCTCTAAGGCCCCAGTACAGACTGGTGTTTGTGGCGCTCTCTCTGCTGCTCCAGTTCATCCATAGAGCTACTTATGTGTCATTTCTTCTGAAATTAAACTCTGCTGCCTGGAATTGTAACCCTTTACTTTGTTCGTCTTTTGGAGCTGAATCTACAGCCGCCTTATYAGGGAGATAAAGCATCCCACTGTGACCAGCCTGAGCACAAGCTTGGCAGAGGAGGAGCCACATGCAGGAGGGTTATCAGCCCGTGCAGGCACCCTGCCATGGATTAACACCTCTGCAGAGCGCTGACAGCTGCCAGTACTCAGAGATTAACCTCTGGTGCTGGAGACTTAGCACTTCATACCCCAGGGCTTCGCTTTGCTGTGGGCAGACAGCCTTTCTGGAGATGCCAGCGATGACCCTTTGCTCATTAGGCAGCTTTGCAGCTCCTCTGGTAGGTCACAGTGACCCTTTCTCTCTCCTTACTACAAGTTTTGCTTCCTGGGCTGTTCTTGCTGCGTTGGTACTGTKTAAAGGCTGGACCTTGGGACCTCTAGGATCTGCATGACAAAGCAGAAGAGTRGTGGGAATGGCGGTTGCAGAGCACGCCTCCTTCCTTGCATGCCTCCTTTCCTTGCACTCTGGCAGCACTCTCTAAGGCAGGTAGAGGTTCAGGCAAAGGGGCACTGCAGCTGCACCATTAGTTAAGTATAAGCATGAGCTGCAAGCTGCAGGCTTGCAAGGCAGCAGCTCTGCTCGTGGGCTGGGCTGTTAAATCCATTAGCCCTGTGCAGCCTGCTCAGCCCACGCTTGCCGAGAGAATGGGCAATTGCACTGGGCGTTACAGGGCAGCAGGCAAATGCATAATCCACCACTTCTCAATAACTGCCCAGCCTCCTGCATGTGATAAGTCTAAGGTAACATCAAGGAGTTCCCCTCTCTGAAAGAGACCAAAAACACCCTCTTAGCATGAGTTACTGCAAAGCAACTCACATGTGGTGGTCATGCCCTTGCTTGCCCTCTGCTAAATGCAGCCTGTAATGCACGTGGATCTGTTCTGTGGCAAACATTGCATCTGAACTTGTGCATCAGGTTAGATGTGGCCAAAGATATTTGACTTGGACTAAGTTATGTAGGAGCTTGGCAGTTAAATGCAAAACCCAAACATCACATCTCTAGCAACCGACCCCTAACTCTTCCCTTTCGCTCTGCTTTAGATTCTGCGCGTCCTGGAATTCCCTTCTGATTAGGGCAGCAGAAGGAAAGGAGTCAGAGATAAAACTAATAGTAATGAAGTGGCATTTTTTCTGGGGTATACAAAGTTTTCCCTTAGTTGAATGAGTGCAGCAAAATTAAGGTGGTAGGTAAAACAATTCAAATATACAGTTGTGTGACTGCTTTTCAGTAAGTTATTCTTTTGCAACGTTTACCCTTCTATTTAAAAAGGTAATAACTGGAATATTCTAAACAACTCAATATATCTTACCCTGAGCTAAATAAAATCCCGTAAATAACTGGAATTCATTTAACATGTTAAGGGAGTCAAATATTGCTAAAAACAGATTTACAGCAGTCATTTCCTTCCAGTCCGTAAGGCAGTGACACAGGAATGACCCAGGCATGGAATGAAAAGCAGCAAGAGATTTTCACATGCAACAAGCAAAGCTCAGTTATGTTCTTCCTGGCTCCGTTGGCAGCCCTGGATCTCCAGAGCAGACCCATAAGGTGATGACCAAACCCCTCAAAGTCCAAGAGCAGGATTGTGTTTGTTTTGTTGAAATCATCTTTTTTCCTGCAAGTAGGAGGCAGCCTTAAAGCCTCTTCAGGGGGACTACTCGAAGCTGAAATCTTAATCTTTTGAGAGAGAGATTTTGAACTTCCCTCTTGTTGCAGAGAAAGTGGAGGAGGAGTCAAGAACCCCCTGCCTGCTTACAGTGCTAAAGGCACTTCTGCTCCCCTGACCTGCGGCACAAACTGGCTGTGTTTGCATGGTGCTTTTGAATGACARTGCCTGCTTTTTAATGCCATTATACCTGGCATTACAACTCCTGCTTCCCATCTTTCTCTGTTCAGTGGGACGGATGCCGTGCAGACTAGCAAGGGTTGCGCCTTGCCCACACCTGGCTTTGTGTGGGTGCTAGGAAGGCTCTTGTCTGCTTGGTGCCTGTGCCCTCCTTGTTCCTGTTGTCTCTCCTCACGCAATGGCCGTCCCCTCGGTGTGGTACATTCCCTCTCAGCATTCCAGCATGGTTTGTAAAATGTGGTTGTCACCAGAGCTGGTTTCTTGCCCTGTCCCCAGTGGAGAGATGACAAATCCTTTTGAGGCCTTAGGCAGTCTGGGGAGCCATAGTGTGTCTGGGGAAGATGAGTCCCAGCTCCCCTGTCCAGGGGCCAGCGTGGGAGCCGGGAGCCAGCCCAGGCAGAGGCTCTCATTGCTCCACCAAAAGCTGAGGTCTAGCTCAGCCCTTACGGGTTGCGAGCCACTAAATGCTTGGGGCTGTGTTCACACCCAGGAGCCTGGCACAGCGCCCCGCGCCAAGGGCACATAAGCTGAATGTGTAAGCATTAGCAGATCACCAGGCATGCCKCCTGGTTACTGCCAAGCCATGTGGCTGAAAGCAGCCCTGCCTGGAAGAGCAGAAAGATCTAGGCATGTAGAGTGCCATGAAGAGGAGGACAAGATTTAAGATGTTCTGGATCTAGATTATTCCTGAGGGGCAATGCTGGGATTTTTTTTTCCTTAATAGTGGCTCAGAATGACAAGAAGGCTGCTCTGTAGCTTGAGAGAGCTTGGTTTTTATAACAMAATGGTCTACAAAAACGAGCGGGCTGCTCGGTTGTTTGAGAGCTTTATTCCTACAATGTGATGCAAGAGGTGTGGTGGTTGCTTTGGTATGTCTTTGGGGCACGGCACAAGGGTGTGTGTGTGCTGAGATAGCACTGACGCACCGTGCAGGGCACAGAAAGCCGGCTTTGGCACAGCCTTGTCCACGATCCCCAACTTCTTCTGGACTGACCTGTCCCCCATCTGTCACTGAGGTTTAGCCGGTTCATTAGGTGCAGATCAGAGGTTAGCATCAACTCAAAGCATGTGGGCAGTCAGGAGAGTGTGGAAGCTCTTACTTAGGTGTGTAAATGCAGCCCGAGAGTAGCTGCAATTGCTTGATGTCTTGAGTACGTGTCCCCTCTCATTTGCTGTTTCTCTGCTGAGGAGAGCAGCGGAGCCCTTTCTGCTGGAGCTGGAGAAGGCTGCTCAGTTGGCTTTTCTGCAGAACAGCCTGCAGTGTGTCCCTAGATCCTATAGGGCCTTACCTATCATACAGGGCCTTACCTGTCAGTTATATGGTGATAAACCACAAAAGCAAACACTTGACGTTAATAACACCTACGAATATCTAAGTGAACGCTGAGGTTTCGATCACGCGCAGGCACCCGGCTGCAGGTCCGCGCGTACCCCCGTCACAGCAGCGTGGGGTGCAACGTTACCCTCTCTCCGGGGTGCTCGAGCTTTCTGCCTGCCCACCCTGCTCCCTGCCAGCTGCAAATGCACACACAAGGGGAAAAGCCCAGGTGAGTTCAGGTGTTTACACCCCAGCTGCGAGCACCCAGCGCGTGCCCTGGGTGGACACCAGGTGTCTGGTGCGGAGGACACTCTATCAGCACCACGCCGGGGCCATCGTGCCAGCGTGGTGACACGCCGGTGTTGAACCAGCTTCTCACTGCTGCCGTCTCTACTCCAATGTCTCTCCCCCCTCTTACAAGTTTTCATGCTTCTTTTGTACTTCAAATGGACTCCTTTCTTTTTAAAAGGCTCTTTGTAATTCCCYTGTTACCCTTTAACATGTGTGATGCGCGTTGCCTTCTTTAATGTGATCCGCTTGGAGCAAATGCCCACTTTGAGGTCTTGTTCCACGTGCACCTGCATTTACACAGTTGACACTCACATTCTTCTCTTAGTGGGTGTTGTTCTTTGGGCTATTTACTTAGGCTGGGCTATGCAAGCACCCCGAGTGTCCCCGTGCTGCCCTAAGAGCTACGGAGCTCACAGATGATATTTCTGCAGTTACTAGTGATCCTCTGTAGCCTACAARGCTCTGACTTCAGTAGCAGGACATGAGGCTACATCTCTGCAGTGAATAGGTGGATGGTTGCAGATGTCTATTCAAGGGGGACACAGGCAGAGCTAGTTGTAGCTACCGTGATATTAGAGGGCAGTAGCACGGGGAAAGCATAATTTAATTAAAAACAGCAATCATCAGTCTTTTCATGTGATGTCAGGGCAACACAAAATTACTTTGCCAACGACATTGTGTGAATTTCGCATAACATTAGGGCCAAAGATGGATATATCTATTACAGAGCTAGAGTCAGGAAGTCCTTAGGGTTTTAATTAAGTTGAAGAGATGAGCCAGCAATATGGGGATACTAGAATGTCAGAAACTACTGAAGAACAGAAGCAGACTAGAAAGCTGTCTCCCATTTAGCCCCTAAAGCATTAGGTATTTTATATGTAAATTCTATATAAAAGTTCCAATCAGTTAGATATTTGGTGACCAAAAGAAAGTTCACTTTTGATTTATCATAACATTACTCCCTGAACAGAAATAAGAATATGCTTACAAGAAAGCTGTGGTAGCTTGGCGGTTCTCCCGTAAGGTTGGGTAGTATGATTAATTCTCTGCGGTTTGTAAAACTCACATTAGAAAGTTAGCTCTTAAACGTTCCCTTGGCCAGTGAAATTCCCTGCGGGCAAAGCCCCTGCGTCTCCCTTGAGCTGTACCGTGGGAATGGGCCGAGCGCAAGTGTGGGTGGCACAACGCCGTCAGGGTCCCGAACGAGGCCACGTTCTCACACACGCAACCGCTTCCTCGCTGTGTTTTGGACACGGTAACTACAGCTCAGCTGAGGGAAAGGACTTTGTGGCAAGTCCACGCATCAGCTGGTGCAGTTCCAGTGACATCAGAAGGTCTCCTCGTATGCGAAGCATAAAGCTGAGAATATCCGCATTCGGATTGCTGTGCCTGGGAGGCCAGCACGTTCTCACATATTTTGAAATTCTGTGGAATTTTCTTACCCTTGCCTAATAAAATTTTCCCCAATTTTTTTAGACTCCACCCTTGGGATCTTATGGCTACCAGTGAATTAACTAAAGTAAGCAGGATAAAAACAATATTGTTTGAGGAAGAAGTGGTCATTGTCTATGGAAAATAAGCAGCCAGAAAAAAATGACTGTTTTTAATTCCTGACATTTGGAACAAGCGCAGAAGGGTTTAGTAATATCTTTTCATTTTAGATGTGCACTGCTGCAAYTGTATTGATTCTTTTTAGATTTAGTGTGTCATTCATTTAGACATAGTRGTTTTTGTATCTTTGCACTTCTTTCTTCCAGCTTAGTATAATTTCATTGCACACGCTTTCCACATAGCAAATAAGCTGTGATCCCAGCTCTGCTCATCTCAGCTAGATATGGGTGGAGCTCTTTGCCTGGAAAATGTTGGTCTTGGGGCATGGTCAGGCAATGAGAAGGGAGCAGGTTAGCCTACTGCCAAAAGCCACTTCCCTCAAAGAGGAGGCAGAAGCTCAGAACACTCCTACTCCCGATCTGCTGTAAACATCAGGTGAAATGGCACAGCATTACTCACTGGTTCAGGGTAACCCATTTTTCATGCGAGATGGTTTGTGCATCTCAGCTGAGAGTGTCTTGCTCTTGCACATCRTTTGAATCCATGATGCTTTTGCTGTGTTGGTGCAAGGTAATCCAGAAATAAAGATAAGACGCGTGGGTGGGTTTCTTAGCCTCTCACTGAGGGGATGAAGTGACCTCTGTGGAACCATCTGGTTAATAGGGAGATAGGAGTGACTGTGAGCAAGGACTTTTTGCTGGAAACGCTCATCCAGCAGTCGTGCTCTGAACATGCAGGAGCMGTTACAGCTGTACAACATGACTGCCACAGAGCCTTGGCCGAAGCCAGGTGAAATGGGAAGGATGAAGCAGGTCTTGGGGCAAGTGGCAGGTCAGCAGAGGGGAGAGGATGGTCTGGTTGTCCACACTCAAACTGCAGYTGGGCAGCTGATGTGTCAATACAGYCAAATACCGTGTTCTTCAATTTCTCCTTGTAAGTGACAGTGCCCTTGTGAGCAAAGAAAGTGCAACTTTTGGTTGTTTATAGAAATGGCTRCCTGCTAATTACTCATATTCTTGCTTTCTTTCCTCAGAACATCCCTACCTTGGGAAGTGTAGCAATAACCATGGCTCTCCACAACTGTGATGAGGTGGCAGTAGCTGGATTTGGCTATGACATGAGCTCCCCAAATGCACCACTGCACTACTATGAGAACATCAAGATGTTGGCCATCAAAGAGGTAAGGAGCTTCTGCCAAGCACATCTTCACACGCATCTGCCAACAACCTTGCCTCCAAAACCTGAGATGGGCAGTGACAACAACTTAAGCTTTTCTGTAGGGATTAAAATGCAACTACAGCCCTGGGAGCTGCATTTGCCCTTAAAATTGTAGACATTTTGCTAAATGCAATGTGTTAAAAATGGCTATTTCTGCTAGGAAAAGTTCTCTGGAATATATCTATAATGTAATCCCTTCTTCTGTGAGGGGTGGGGAAATGTTTTACATAAATGTTATTTGGAGTAGAGTGAAAGGAAACAGTTATGCCCTAGGCTTGTAAAGATGTGGCCTGTTTCAGCTTTTTGATCCATTTTCTTACTCTAATCCACATACTTCTTTTGCCRGATGATCCACTGCTTAGCCCCTGTGAAATGTGGAGGAGGTGAGATTAGCCTGTGCTTGTTAGCTCTCAGCTGACTATGAAGCAGCACTTAACTAGTATAGACATATCCTTACAGCCCTGCAAAGATTGATCTCTAATGCTAGATTTACCTTAGAAACATTTGCTGGTACCGTCATAGTGACATGCACAGCATTTTTAGAGGAAATAAAAGCKCTGTAATGGTATAATGCAGCAGTGTAAACATCTCCTTTCTCAGTGCCAAACTTTGACGCTGGTCTCAGCTGATTCTATAGTGGGGAGTTTTCCTGATTTTTTTGATTCAGCTCAATCAAAGATGTGGCCCAAGTCTTTCTAGAAATATTTCAACTGGCTCCTAGGTAAGGGAACCTTTTCTGTCTTTACTTCATGTTGTGAAAAGAGGTGCAGTCAAAAACGGAGTTGTGCTCAGGGAGACAGTGCTTGTTCTGTTCTTCACGGACTGCAGCGCTCTCCTGGCACTTTCTAGTTGTTCACTTCAAGCTTCCTTGAGGTTCTTCACCTCAAACACAAGTACATCTTCATTCATTCAGGCTAGGAGGGAAGTGGCAAAGCTGTATTTTTCCAGTCAGATTGCATGTAGCTCAGGACTCACCGACTGCAGACTGCATGACCTTAAGCCAACTGAGAGGAATTAGAAATTAGTCATTAGTCAGTTCAAGAAATTAGAAGAGCGTTTGTAATTATCAGAGCTATGAGGTCCTGGAACAGCCTCTCAAGAGAAGCCACAAAACCAGATGAAGTTTGGGAAAAGCCTGTGTGAGGAGAGCCCCAGAGATTTCAAGAGACTGTCCGACGTGATCCTGGAGGTACCTTCTGGGCCTGTGGAGGTAGCAAGAAAGTCTGCCTTTCTCAGTGGAACAACCACAGATGTACTCTCTCCTTGCTGGGGAAGTATGTACCCATTTACAGGATTTAAGAGGACACTGGTCCTCTGCTGCAGGGCAGGAATTAAAATGCTAAAGTCTCACCTCAGAGCCATGGGTGCAAAAAACAGTCGCAACCTGGAGCATGCTAAAGAGCAAGGGTGGTTCCTGGCACTCTTGGTGTAAATCTAAGACCCACTCAACCTCCTGTGGAGGGAAAAAAAAAAAAAAAAACCTTTTCCAAATAGGAATTTAGGGGAGGAAAGAAAAAAAAGGTCAGGAGGAACYACTGCAAGGGGTCTGCAATGAAGAGGATGAATTCGGCCACAAGCTGGCTTCTGATTCCTCCATCCCCTTCTCTCCCACCCTCTGCTTCGTTCTTAATTCCTGCCAGTGTGGTTTTGAAATGGATTCTGAGCCCTGTCAGATCTGGATGCACTTAGTGCTCCTTTGTCAAGGTCTGGCAGCCCATCTTTTGGCTCCTGAGAGCTAGGCAGCGGACACAACTTGCCAGTCTGGACTGGTTGGATCCTTGATTGTTAAAGTCACCACTCAAAGTGAGATGCAGAAGCCAGTGGGGATCAGGAGGGAAGCACCCTTGGACCTTGTATGTGGTCTCAGGGGTAAACTTTGCATAGTAAAGGGCAGTATATGTCCTACTTTGTGGTATGAATATTTAAAATTGAGCCAATAAGGTCTCCTGGAGGTAACAGAAGKTTTTAATTTATGTGTCTGTGTTTAATGCTGCAAGTCTGTGAAAGAAGGGGCCTTTCTTATTTTGGATGTGTCCCATCTCCATCAATTTTCAGTAACCGGAGTTAACTGGTCGGTCAATTGGTGCCTCATTTAGGTGGCCACTGCTGTCTGGAAGCTGTCAGTCGTCGTGTCCAGGATGTTCTGTACAGAGGTGAGGCGTYGCTGAAAGGTTCTGGTGAAGCCTCCCTAATTCAGATGTCAGTGGATTTGTTACCACAGCCAGGGCTGTTGATGAGGGCTCTGTAGGCCGGTGGAGCTGGTTCTAGGAGGAAGGTTCCTGTTCCACTTGAAGGCTGGTTATCTGATACGTGTCTGCCCATCTAATGCTCACATCCTCACCCACAGGCTCGTCTTACATTTTGCTGCTCTGGTACAAGAAAAGCCATCTGTTCCCGAGTATCAATAATTAATGCTCCTTCTACCTCTGCCCCTCCCAATATGACAAATTGTTTGCAGTATTGTGGAATGTGAAGAGAGGAGAAAGGATTGCATTTCTTCCTCTCACATTTAATATTAATGGTAGCAGGTAATTGTTAGTCACCTGAGGGTGAAGTTGAAAGGTGAAGGGCATGATGGTTGGGTTACGTATTCTGCAGTTGCCCTTAAAGAACTAATAGATGGAGGTCTGCTCCACCCTGGACTACAAGTGTCCAACACACTCTGTGCAAARGAAGGTCTGCACGTGATTTGCAGACCAGGAAGCTACCAGGTCTTTGCAGCTTGTGCCAAACTTTGCCTTTGGCACTAATGCGATGAGGTTGATCCAGAGCTGGGCACTGCCAAGGCTTTTGTTTGTTCCGTCTGCTCTGATACCCAAAGACTCAGAATCATCCACAACGTTTCCTTCTGTGTTACCTTTGAGCCTCTGAGATTGTGCCCAGACTTAGTTCTTTCTTGTACTCCTCTGCACTACAGTCCCTAAAGGAGTCAGTAGAGCAGGTTGTGCATTAAAATTGCACATGCATTGTGTTCCTGTGCCTGGCCTGTAGGCCCCTGCAGGCCGGAGTACTGGTTTCAGGGTAGAAGGGGCAGAAGGTTGGCTTAGCAGTGTTAAAGTACCAAAGCAATTGCCATGGGATGCATCTTTTCCACCTTAATGGAGGTCCCAGACAAAAGCCCTTGCAGTTTGGCTACACTTCAGTGAGGCAAAACTTTCATTTCTGCAGAGAAAGCCATTTCCGCAGAGCATTCAGGTGTCTCGGAGTCTGGRTGCTGATATACTGAGGCCGGCTGGATCATTTGACACAGTTCAGCGTTTGAAGACTTTGGACATTTTCTGTAGCCTTCATTAGTAACCGCTCTGCTGATAAGTAGACAACAGGATAGGGAACTGCTAGGAGATGATCCATGTCTCTTCATAGATCATGCATGATCCATGTCTCCTCAGCTCTGCTTGTGCTGAAGAACCAGATTCCTTCAGGTATGGGTGCTTTTGTWGTACAAAGTTCTATAAAGTCCCCAAATGGAAAGCTTTGAATAAAGATTGACTGTTAGTAGGAATGGAGGCTGGCTGCATGCCTCTCAGAAGTAGACATGTGATGGTCCAAAGGCCTATGGCATCACTGCACTGGCAACCAGGAGAAGAGAGCAGGTAGGATGCTGGGCACAACCTGGCTGTCCCCCAAAATGCAGCCATTTCCCAGAGGGCTCTGTTTGCCAACGAGTGGGCTCCTCCAATCCAGTTGACTACAAAATCTCCAGCGTTTGAGCCTCGAGAGCAGCTGTAGGGAAATACTCCAGCTCCACGCTGAAACCACCGCTGTCTTTACAGAGGGAATGTAAACACCAGCAGCATGTTGGGTCCGGAGGTGCCCCACGTGTGCATGGCTCATGGGAGCCTCTCCGGGAACATCCATCAAGGCCCTTCCGTTGCCTCGCGCATCCAGAGAGAATGGGCCTGCAGGCAAAAGTGTGTCATCTTGGCAAGGTGTGTCGCTGATTTACACTGGAGCCCTGCTTGACATCTCCCTGGACACCCCTGAAACCCTGTGACTCATCTCCGAGGAATTTGTACTGATTACATAAAAAAAGCCAGCAAAATGCGTTTGCTTGCTCACAGCTGGGCGGAGATGCCTCTCCCATGCCAAGACTGAGGTGATAAAATCTCTCTGTGGAAATGAATGTGATTTTTCCTGTAGCTCTCTGGGACTAGCTGTCGAATTTCCAAGAGGCCGTCTGAGTGTGTGCTTTTGCTTGGTCCTTGCTTTCCCCACAGAGTAAATGCCCTCAGCGTCCACGGTTGTGCTGTTACTGCGACCACAGGAGGCAGCTGCATCCCCAGCATCTTTTAGCATCCCAGGCTCTCAAGGGCTACACAGACGTTTCCTGCCTTGGTGGAAAAGGCTCTACAAGGAGGCTCATGCTCTGCAGCTTTGTCTGTGTTCTCCATCACGGGAGGTGTATGGTCTTGAGGCCCTGATTTATTCTTCTGGGGCCTGCTCAATAGCATTGCCACACAGCGTGCGTCGACTCCCCTGCAAGAGCTCTGCAGCTTGGGAGCACGGGAGTAAATCTTACCGGTCTGCTCGTGGGTGGCTTCCTTTCTGTCTGTGCACAGGACAGTCCAACTCTGGCGAAGTCACAACAGTGCATTCCAGCCAGGAGATGTCCTGGCAGGCCTGGTAGACAGGAACCTTATGCTCTTAAGCTTGCTTAGGATTGCTGGAAGCACACGGCACTTCCAGGGCTTCAGATGGTGAGTTGGGAGGTCAGTGCTTGCAGGACAGAAATGATCCTCACTCACAGCCCCTGCCCAGCACCTTTCCCCTTGCATCCCCAGCCACAGGACCRTGAGGGACCTCAGGATTGTTTGAACCTGCTCTTGGTTTGCTACTGGGAAACTGCTCCCAGCAGACCCCACACTGTTGCAGCAATTCGCATGGATTATTTTTCAGCTTGTATCCCGTCTCTTTGCTTTAACTCTTTAAATGAAGAGTGTATAAGGGTATCACCTTCCTTCA